AGAAGCAGGCTTTCTGTAATTTATGTCAGAAATTTGGGTCTCGGTCACATTAGAGCTCTCTGTATTACCAGAAAACTAACTGCAATAAGGTATCACAAAGGACCAAACTGAGATTTTTAGTCACGTCAATTTTTAAAGACTTACTTAATTAACTCAAGCATTTAAAGACCTGTCCGGGTAAGAGATTTAAATTAACAATCCATCTTTACCACCTTTGCAATTAGGAAGTGAGAACACTTACAGCCCATAGCTACGTAATAAAAAAAAAAAAAAAACAAAGATCACTTTTGTCACTACTATTTCTTAACAAACAAGTTGAAAACACATTTCAAAACTTCCTCTCACACATCTATGGAGATCAGGAGAGAAATGAAAATAAACCTAAATGTTCTTGTGACCTTTATAAGGCCATTTTATGGTTTATGATACTGCCATAGGCACTGGCTTATCAGCATGTCTTACTAAATACCATTTCCAGGAGATTTTCTCGGTTACTGATATCTTCCTAAAATGAAACTTAGTTTGCAAGTTGTTTGGTTCAACAATAACTCATTAACAAACCCTTCTCTACCAGTTTTCAGTTGGGGTGACTGGAAGAGAAGGAAGAGGAAAACCAAGTAATACTTAATATGAAATAAACCACAATCAATATATTCAGTCTATTTATAGAAACAGATTGTTACAGAAAACTGCCCTTCTGTTAAGGGCAGATCCCAAGTCCTCTCTGTTCAGCTAGCACAAATTCTGTAACCCTGTTGATGTCTGCGTAACTGCTCAAGTTTTAGACACATGGAGAGTTGTTCTCGGCCTCCCAGACTCTGAGCTGGCAGATACTGCAATAGCTGTGGAGACAGCATGTTCTTCTCCAGGCTGGAATATGTCCCTGGGACCCACGAGGAATGAAGCAGTCAGGTAAGGCTGGGACTTGGGTCATAACGTTCATCCAGACGGACTGGAAGGGGGATGTTAGAAGTGGGGAGAGAAAAGGAGGAGCTGAAATCCTGACATGGATTTATCTGTCTCATGAAGCCACCAGGAGATGACCATTTGCAAGCTCACTGTTGCATGCTGCTGAAGTCCACTGTCCTTCCTACCAGGAGAGCTCAGCAGACATCCCACTCTGACAAACACTTCTGAAGGAGCAAATTCCCACAGACAGAACCAATGAATATGGACTGCCATTATTACAAAAATAATAATTATGCATTATTGTAATAGTAAGAACCCACTGCACACAGGAAAGCTGATGATCTTGGAAATTAAGATATATTGCCCCCACTCATGAGTGAGTCAACAGGAGAGCCTTGACTCCTACTTATCAGTGCGGGACACAGCCCTGAGGATGCTGATCTCAGCACATGTCGAGGTAACAGGAATTGCGCTTTCATGATCAAAATCACTTTGACATTTACCTCATGTGGATTTATACACACACATGCAAGAGCTAGTCCCATCCAGCCTGTAAATGCACCAGGGGAAATAGATAAGGCTACCTGACGCGCAGCATATGCACTCCTCACAGAGCCTGCCCTATCCCCAGTGCCTCAGCCTGTGGTTGCACTTATCATTGGGCCAGACCTTCAGAGCAGGCCATAAACACAGTGGGATTTTAAGCCCTTGAAACAGCCGTCATTTTATGCCGTTTTGCCTCTCTTCTTACTCATTGCTACTGATGGGGGGCCCCGGGACTCGGCTCTGGGTGACTTGCAGTAGCTCATTCCTGTGGGTTGATCTGGTAGCTAGTGGCTCCACGGAACAAGTGTGACCGCTGGGCCACCAGTTTACAAAGTCCAATATGAAAACCAGGAATTGTTAGCGGACTCCGATAACGAGAGGTTTTTATAAAGGTCGGAAATGTTTATGTGCTTGCGTGACTGTCCAGTGTCCTCCTGGTCCATGGAGCAAATAACAAATGTCTATAAAATTTAAGAATGTTCCAACATTTATGGAAGAGACCTAGCGTCCCCAAAATCTGCTGTCACCTACATAGAGCGATTCATCAGCAATCGCACTAGCTTCTTTAGAAAAGGGATAAATTAAATCTCCACAGGTCTGTTTCTCCTCTTGTACACACTGCATTTGCTTGCGTTTGCAAATCCCGTGTGCTTGCATTGGTGTGTATGAGGCTGCACTTGGCCAACGTGGCCCTAAGTCGGGATGCGACTCCCGCATTTAAACCTTTGGACTTACCAAACCGTCTCCTAGTTATGCATGGGAACTATGGGTGGCAACGGACTTTCCATAATTTACCCCTCCTTGTCTCAAGTTTCGGGGAAGATGTAGTAAAAAGATAATGCGAAACCTCTCAAACTCTGCCGGTATTTGGACAGTCCCTATGGAAGCTACGATCCAGTGGGTGAGAACTAGACTCCACCCCCTCCCACCCATCATTTGAGCCAGCAGCAAGGAGAAATGGACCCACTCGGAAGCCCCGGTGGACCCACACCCTCCTGCGCGGTCACTGAGACCCCACGGAGCAGCTTCACCCAGCCCCAGGTGGCTGGTGGGGAGACCCAAGCAACGGGAGCTCCCACGTCTTGTACTCAATGCTCAGCACCGGCCAGGCACGTGCTGAGTGAAGGGGACAGCTCCAGCCTGCTCTCTGAACTTCCTTTCCTCCTAGGGGCTTGCATCAGGACCTTCACATTATCCAAACACCGGTTTTCTCGTGGTTGATTTTATATCTACTCCCAGAAACAGTCTTCCTAGGAAGCTGAATAAAGAGCCACAGTGCCCCTGCCAACTAGCACTGCTGTAGGTCTGCTTCCACGTGGGGTCACATGAGAACATTTCTATGCCCAATAACCTTGTTAGTTCCCTTAATGTCATTCATAATGCAAATGAGACAGCGAGCGAATGGCCAGAGGCCCAGAGTGACTAAAGCTCAGCATCCAGAAAGTCTTACATTGCCTCTAGCTCTAAACTAACTTCCCTCCATAACAAGCACCATAAACTTGGCTATCAAAGCTACACATGCCCAGTCTTTGTTGTACAACAGGCAGCGATTTGTATCACTGGCTTCTATTTTTAGCATATTAATTAACTACTGCAACTGGTGAGGCAAGTGTCTCCAACTGGAGAGTGTGGCACCATTGTCTGAAGTCATCACCTCATCTCGCGCTATTGAAAATCATGGCAGTGACCCTCCTGCTGATATGAATTTAACCTGACATACCCACAAAGGGATGGGGGGTGGTGCACCAATTTTGTGCACATGGTTCTCCACATCACCCTGGACCCTATTAGTGTGGAAAGAGCTCATTGAAAGAAAAGAAGCCACATTGTGCTGGGCCACCTAGAGGGTTGAATAGAAAAGGCTGAGGAAAAGAGCAGGCAGCGGAATAAAGGCCGTAATTAACATATTTCCATATTCAAGCAAAGCAATAACTACGTGAAATGTTTGTCAAGGTGCAACGAAAGCATAAATATTAAGTACCATATCTGAGGGGATGCAGAACCCCCCTCGAGTCCCTTACATTCCATCGATAAATTCAAAACAAGCTTTTTACACATTATTTTCAATTATAAACCTCTATCCCTGCTTCCCCCATGATAACAAGCCAAGTCCCGCCATCCTTACTCAGTTTTCACCCAGGTAAAACTGTCCCCAGAATTAAGTCAAAAGCTCACCCTGAAATTAAAAAAAAAAAAAAAGGGGGGGGAGGGGAGAGAAGACTTAATCATTTGACTCTGAAATATACGCTTTTATTCTTCTTAGAGATGATGAACCCTGAATTACAGAGGGAATCTTACAAAAATCACTTCTTACTGGACACCTGAAGCAAGGCTATGGGTTAAATCCTTCTTTCAGACCTATGTGCAACCTTGGTTAACAGGCACCCAGAGCCTGCACCGAAGACACAGCTCTGCCTCTAACTTTGTTGCGATTTATGCAATTCCACTGCAAAGTACAGGAGAGTCTCGTTAAAAGCCAGAGGAGTAGTGCAACAACATGTAGTCTATGAGAATCTGAGCACACGAGCACTTCAAGGGAAGAACTGGGTAGTCAGAATGCAGGACTTGTTTTACCTTCTGTTCCCAGGCAATAAACACCAGAAGCTGTCCTATCCCCATTTCGGTATCAACTTTTCCCTAAAGGACCTTAAAAACAAGGGACCAACCTTGCACAACCCCAGTGACTTCAGTGTTGGAAACAAAAAAAGCCGATACAAGAAAACAGTGCCCTTTGAAACACAGCCACCTCTGGACCAGCCAGCTGGAGTCATCAAGCAAATTCAGGGCACGCTGAATCCGCGCCCTGCTTTCAGACTGGAGCACACACTGACAGCCAGGGCATGAACGTATGCAGGCGCTGAGGACGTTTTTCTGCCCGCACAGCACACGTAACCTACGGTCAGGTTCTAGGACCCTGCGCACCGCAGCCGAGCTGTTTTGCTGGCTCTCTCCTGATCCAGTGGACTTCACTACCTCCGAGCCAGGAAAATGCAAGGTTGACAGTCAGTCTAAAGCAGGAGGGAACGGGAGGCAGGAACCCAGAGAGGTCCTGCAAGGGGAAGCCCTAACTCGCAGCCAATAAATGAAAACTGCCGGAAGGAAAAAAGCACTGACAAATATCCAGGCTGAACGTGCTCGGTGTGCCAAAGCCAGGTGGGAACTCTACCTTCTTACAATGACCCTTGTTACTGCTCTGGCCGCAGGTTGGTTTATTTAACAGCCAGTTTTCAT